AGACAGACAACTGACCTATGGGTCAAGATACGATGACTTGCTATATACTCATACAACCCAAGAAGCAGAGTACTAAACTCAACACAAGGAGATAGATGAACAAGCACAAAAGAAAAGACAGACAAGAAAAATGAGATGATGAAACGACGCGCTACAAACATCAAGACATACAACAGGTGATGATACAGTGATCGATCAAACCTCCTCAACATCCTCAAGGCTAAACTGCTTCTCGGCATCAGCATCAAAGCATGTCTCCCAGCAGAGAACCTCGCTGGGGAAATCCTTCTCCACACTAGGGCGTTCGCGGACAAACCAGGCTAGTCCCGCACCGACGATACCGAAGAGTGCGAGGCAAGTCCAGAGAGCGAAGTTTGTTGTTTGTACGCTAAGATCGTCGCTGAAATAATAGCTTGTGCCACTGACTGCAACGGCAAAAGCCTTGAAGAGACTGCCAATCTGCATCATACCGACAACGGTGCCGGCTGAGAAAGCATCTGGTGTGGTGTTGAGGACGAGCAGAGAAACGACAACGTTTGCGCCACCGGTGAGGAGGTGTTGGGTGAAGATTGAAAGAGCGGAAATGACGGGTTCAAGACCGGAGCAGGTGACGACAATGGCGAGGATGGGAGTGAGGACATAGGTAGCGGGTAGGAGGGCGGAGACGGAGCGGTAAAGTTTGACAAGACCGTATTTCGACGTCGCGTAAGGAATGGCGTAGTAGAGGACCATGCCTGCAATGCCGCGGACACCGAGAACGACGATACTGAGCCAGTCGCACGAGATGCCCATGCCGCCTTGGTCTGTGCTGCTGTGTCCGAGGTGGGGAAGGACAACGTCGAAAGTCGATGCGTGGAGCGAGAGGAGACAGAAGGAGGAGAGAAGGACCATAAGAGATGGGGCCTGGAGGAACTGGGAGATAGTGATGGGTTCGGGGCGAGCAAAGTCGACGAGGGTGATGTTTGTGTCTTCTGAGTCGCGGCGGAGGAAGGCAGCTTTCTCGCAGTCCATGTCGACTGAGTCTGCGGAGCGATCGTTGTGGTGAGGGAGCGTTTCCTTGAGGCAGATGCTTGCCGTGAGCGCAATGGCGAACAAGACGGCTCCGCAAGCTAGCTCAGAGCCCAGGGTTGGAAAGTCTTGCCAGACCATGTTGTAGGCTTGTAGGCTTTCCGAGACCATGAGCTGCATGATCGGGCCCATGGAGCCGCCCAGAGAGATAGTAGGTAGCCGGGCGACGTTCTTCGCCCTCTCCTCTGCCGATGTGCTCAGATCTCCAATCATGGTCAGGGTTGTGCATACAATCGCCGAGCTAACCATGCCGGCGACAAAGCGAAAAATTGTACAGCTGACGAGACTGGTTGCGAAGCCCATGCTCAAGCAGCATGCGAACATACTCCAGAGCCCAATGAGCGTGACGCGCCTTCTTCCCATACGGTCGGCAAGGTATCCCCAGAATAGACCCGTTGTTCCGCCAAATGCGTATGCGCAGTCGAGTATACTTCGGAGGTAGGACGAGGAGAGAGTGCCGCAGTAGTCGGAAGACGAGAGGAGCATCTGGAGCTGTGGTTGGAGGCTTGAAGCCATGATGCTGTATAGCATGTCAGCATAAGTCGGAACAGACGGGTCTTGCCATTCGAGATCAGGTAGTAGAACTTACGCCTCAGCGAGAAAGATAAGGTACACAAGCATCAGCTGCGACCATCGCGACTTGTCCGCACCGTCTGGCGCGTTTTGCATCTCCATCTCTTCCTCTACATCCAGATCCTCCTCTTCCTCAACCATGGCCACCTTATCATACTTACCCAAGTCCTTGACCGGTATTAAAGACCTCGTCCTTCTGTGGAAACCCAACATCTTGCAAAAACTCAAACGATCAATCCGAAAAACTCGGCTGAAAACACTTCAAATGTGCGATAACGCGTTTATCGCAGGAGAGAGCGTGTGCAGGCACGAACCAGCGTAACCTGTAGAGAGATTGTAACGGCCACGACGGGACCTAAAGGTAAGATAGAGAGTGACAGGAAAGACTGGTCAAGGGAGCGACGAAAGACTCGCCTCGAAAGAGAGAGGGTTGACAGTCAGAACGACAACGGCGGCAACAGCATCGCGAGGGGTTTGAGCTTGACGGGGCTCTTGAAACGGAACTATACTGACTGGCGTCTCATTGGCGATCAGCCCATCCCAAAGTTTAAACGCTAGTACCATTGGAGCTAAGCCCCTGAGCCTGGAGCCACATGAGGTCACACGCAGACGGTTCGTTGCTCCTGATCCACTGTAAGCGGAAACCTGCAGCGGTCCTATTTTCAGGTCCCATCTTTTGTGGTCTTTGCTTCGACATTCGTTTTTGACCACCACCAAGATTCTTTGTCCGAAGCAACGTGATGCGCAAAAATATATGTCGTCGTGTCATTAGCCGCGTTCCGCGAAGAAGAACTCGACATGACTGACTGCACGAGCGACTGGAGTATTCCACGTTCTGATTCATCCATGGCTCCATCGCGCAGATCACGGTGGCCATGAGTTCTGGATTCGGTGATTTGAGTGGAAAGAGCATGGCGTATTGACCTAGTTTTGAAGGAACTAGTGAATCACCGTTCTTCTTGGTAGCGAGAGCCATAAAATCTATACTCTATATAATATAAAGCCTCTCCATATCTCGCTGGAGAGAAATATCGAGGTGGTACTATAGTCGTCTATAGAGGCTGACGATTCAAAAGGAATTATGACCGGGATTACGTCTAGATTTCTTACTACGACCTGAATGGTTTATTCACCAATCGAAACAAGTGTATTGGGTAGTGAATATAGCTATATAGTGTCAAAGGTTGTGATACCTAGTCGAGTTAAAATACTCCTCCGCATTGCGGGTCGTCAAGGTCCTGGAACCCACAGTCCCGCGATTGCGACCAGGAGCTCGTCGGGAGGTAAGAATAAGCCCAATCAAACTCGGTCTCTATTGCAACACCACATGCGAAACAAGGACGAGCCCAAACGTATGTTAGACCTCGAGCTCGACAGTGAGAAATATAGTGGAACATTTGCCGTTGGCGCCGTGGTTCAATATGTGAACAATTCGAAGTTTCCAACGATCTCGGCCACGGCGTTCACTTATCACAAAACATCCGACGATATATTCTCAAAAGCCATGATTCTCATTACTGGATATTGCCAGATCTCGCACAGACCCAGTCAGCCATGGCGACTCGTCCACGCCCTGGCCAACCCTCTGTCCTCACTCCCTACGATCGGAACTTCGCCAGGCCAGCAACTTTGAAAGGATGTCCTACAAGAAAAACATCTCTGTCGAGTCAGAAACAGCAGACAAGGTATTCTATACATGGAGTGTCTCCATCACCTAAGGGAACCCCGACAAGATGTTCTTCCCCAGTGGCGTCTCCTCTACGCGAAGTAGACTCTATAGGAATTCCTACACCATGCAATTCTCCGTTGAGTGTAGTAGACTTGACAGAATGTTCTACACCAAGCGCATCTCCGTTGAGCCAAACAGACTCAACAAAATATCCTTCGCCTAAAGGCACATCTACGCCAGTCTTTCATCCGTACAACTCGCATCCCTTCAGGCCACAAATTCCGGTAGGGCATCCTTCACGGGGAGAATTTGAAGAAATCCAAACCATCATTGCGCCATACTGGCACATCTTCAACCTTGTACTTGAATATGAACCAAGACTTCGCGTTCACCTTGAAATCAACCCGTCACCTGGACTGGGCGATCCCATCGTCATCTACGAGAGTGAGTATCCACCGATACATGGGAGATTGATACAAGCATACGGTCCCGCTGTTTATGATCCTTGGATCAGTCCAGACATGCGAAGGGGGTCTAATAAGTTTAATCACTGCGACTTCAGCATCCGTGTCTTCTTATACATGCTCGAGCCATTTCTGAGCCGTGTCAACGCTAGGATAACCTGGCTCTCGGTGGTAGCAAAACCGTATTGGGTCATCTACTGGAAACATTATCAACCGTATTCAGAAGTCCGTCATAGCGTCTTCAACATCGAAACTCGGTCCGGCGACGAGTACATTGCAGACTTTACGATTGAGCAATTTGGCTACTCAAGCGAGTGTTGGTTGATGGGCAAGAGTGAGTACGAGAAGCAGTGTACTATGGGTATCAGAATGCGGCAACCGAGATCTGAAGAGGTCGACGAGGCGCGGCGAGGCGAGGTTAAGTTTTGGCATAAGAAAGCACAGGCTATATGGATGGTTTGCCAAATAATGCATTATTATGGATTGGGTTTCATGGACGATGTGATGTTCGTTAGGTGGTTGGAGTTTTGGGTGAAAGACGTTTCTTTGTATATGTGGCAAAGACAACCGGCTTACCAACCGATTCAATGACGGATAATGAAGCGATTCTACTTTCGAAGCACGAACATCCAGTCTAGAGTGGGGGGAGATGGCTGCTCCGGGGTGGTGTATGTAGATGAACACTCGTCATTGCGTACTTTTGCAAAAGAAACGAGCAGCATTGTATTCCGAGATGAGAGGAGCATCTCGCAAAGAGACAAATAGATCGAATGTAAGTTGGTAGGGCGGCAAGGGCGTCCACGCTTCTGTGTCCGGCTTTTGTCCGCAGCGAGTCGTGAGATAGGGTAGAATCCAACACCTGGGCGTGGCAAAGCTACGTAAAGTATGAGACAACCTCACGCCTATACTTAGTCCCAGAGTACCCCGCCATGGATCTTATAACTGGAACTCCCTCAATATCGATATACCTCTCACGCCTGCATGCGCAGCCCTAACATCACATGCATGTTGACGACGTGTTTCTGGCCCCCACGATTCCGGTGAAAGGCGTCCTGTACTACTCGCCCAATGGAAGGATGTGGCATACGTATGTGCCGACATCCAGAACATCACGACACGGTGGATTGCGCAACGACGGAATAGTGGGTATGACGGCGTGCGCATCTGTGCAATTCCAGGGAGCGGGGACGGCGGCTTTATCAATAGCGACGCCTTAGTTGTCTTAGTTGCTGGTCCACCAGAAGTGGTGAGGAAGGCGAAATGGCTCCATCCATGCACAGCCCTGTCGCCCTTTGCAAGCCTCCACCCATAGGGCGCCTTATGCCATCAACCAGTGATAAGCGTGCGCTAGCAGCCGTTCCTGCGCTTCTTAGGGTTGACCGGTTTCTTGCAAGGGTCTAGTCACCGCTGGATTGGAGCCAATTCTCGCAGTCTTCTGGTGGTTCCGTGTCTATCACCATAGAAGGGTTCGCGGTGAAGGACACAATAAGTTTGGCGCTCGATTCCTGCGCCCACGCGTATGCCAGAAACGCGGCAAAGGTGCAAGTGACGGATTGGCTGACGTTGTGCCGATGGACGAATAATGGCATGTCGCTCGTATTCATGATCCGAGCAGGGGCTGACTGCGCGGAACGTCAAGTGTCCGTGCACTGCTGCCTGGAGTTGGACTCCACTCACTGGAGGAAGCGACGACATCCCGTTCCTTCCCTCTTGAACCACCTACTCCCCCCCAGCCCGCGCTCCTCGATATCTCTTCTTGCTTCAAATCCCAATCCTCAGGCCTCCCTTCCTCCTCGTCTTTTTGCACCGCAGACCCGCCGCCCTTGTGCATCTTTTGCCGCTCGCCGCCCGTCTTACTCCACGTGCTGCGCCTTCCTATATACCAGCACTTCTCCTCCGACACTCGACAAGAGGACTCAGCGCCCTTTACCCTCTCTCTGCATCGCTCTCATCACTCCAGCCTATCATTTGTTAGCTTCCGCGGCCGCAAAGGTTCCATTATCCCCGGTCAATGAAAACGTGATCTGGGCTTGGATAACCACTCACACTTGGTCCTTTTGGTTCGCCGGGTTTGGGGAATCGTGCAGTCCGTGACTCACCTGAGGCCGCCTTTCCCACTTCAACCGGTACTACGACCAGTCATAGCTCAACATGTCTGCACCCCACGACCAGAACCGTCATCCCCGCCGCCGTCCTCTTAAGGGCTCCGCCTCCCCTCTCAGCACCCATGGCATGCAGCTCCGGAAGAGCGGTACTTTCTCGTCGCCAACCCACATATCGTCCGACATCTGCGACGTCGACAAATACTTTATGCCCCGTCGCTCACCGACCAGCACTGAGCGACTAGAGGAGCTAGTCAACGACTCCATCCAAGACCCTAGCGTGCGTCGCGTCACCAACCTGCTCAAGGACTTCGAGGCGAGGGTCGCTGGCCATAAGAGCGCTGCTGCCGGCTCTGACCTTCTCAACGACCCGGAGGTTCTTCCCGTCCCGAGCTTCGTCCTCGACAGCACCTCATTGGACCACACCCCAATGGACATTGACATAAAGCCTACTGCAGCTCAACGCAGCCCCCACGACCACGCTTCTGACAGCGGTCTGGGTTCGAGCATCAGTGGATCGAAATACGGTAAGGAGTCACCGCAGCTACCCGTCTTGGAAGAGAACGCCCCGCATTCTAACATATATAAAGACGAGATTCGCACTCAGCGCTCCAGCGTTCGTGAATCCATCAGCACCTCAATCAGCTCAACACACTCGGCTGTCACCAGGTCCTTTTCCGCACTCGGTTCTCCAGAGGAGGATCACGTGCTTGGCGAGCACACGTGCAAGCAGATTCACGACTTCATTGTCAAGCCCATCCTTGCTGAGGAGTCTCTCAAAGACTTTCACTCGCTTGTCAAGGACGTTCCCCGACGCATAGGTGAGAAGAACATCCGAAACCTCCGTGATCTCGAGAAGACCCTCATATTCCTCGCACCGGTAAGTGGAACCACCCGTTGTCTTTCTCAAAGTGCAGTAGCTTATTGCATTTTTCGTGGTTTAAAGGAGCTGTCGGCTACCCCGGACTCGTACACTCGTTTTTGCGAACGATCAATCCAACTCTTGGCTACGACTGTCCAGTACATTTCCGAACAAGATCAGCGACTACCAACCGACCGCCCTTATACTGACGGCTACTTCCTCGATTTGATGGAACAGATTAGACGATACGCTTCAATCATGGCTGCTACAAGAGAAAAAGAATCCAAGGGCGAGGACCTAGACGACATGGATTACTCACGGTATGACCGCGCCGCCGGCTTTCTATTCGCACGCACTAATCAAATGGTCCATAGCGATGAGAAGATCACCCTCCGTGGTGGCATTAGCCACAACGGCCGTCCCGTCGAGCTAGTCCGGGAGAAGAACGGAAAGGTTATGCCTATCTCAGAAGATGCCTCAAAAGCCTTCAGGATCAAGCGCCGTCTCTCGGACGCCTCCGAGGACAGTATGGACGAGGATGAAGTCACCCGCTCCATGGCGCGCCGTCGTAAGTCCGAGAAGCCAGGAGATGTAATGCACATTTGCCGTGACTGCAAGAAGGAGTTCAAGCGACCATCCGATCTGACCAAGCACGAGAAGACCCACTCTCGCCCGTGGAAGTGCTCTGAGAAGAACTGCAAGTACTTCGATCTGGGCTGGCCAACTGAGAAGGAACGTGACAGGCATATGAACGACAAGCACTCTGCTGCTCCTGCCCAGTACAAGTGTCTCTACCCACCATGCTCGTACGCCTCAAAGCGTGAGTCCAACTGCAAGCAGCACATGGAGAAGGCTCATGGCTGGGAGTACGTTCGTTCCAAGAGCAATGGTCGCAAGAAGGGTCCTACTGGCAGCGAGAACAGCCCCACTACTCCTCTTACTCCTTTCATTGGCACACCAATGTCAGCGACCATGACTACACCCATCACACCGTTCATCCCATCGCCACAAGTGCCCATGATCGACAACTTTGACTTCTATGGCGTCAACACGCCAGCTTTGAGCCACCAGGGTTTCCAGGATGACTTCCGCCGTGACTCGATCACAACCAACGGCTCCCACTTCACCTACTCATCTGGACATTCGCCCGTTGAGCCCACATCCTTTGTTGATGCTGTGACCCCAGAAGATACTCACATCAACCACAACGACATCTACAACGCCTGTGACCTGAACGCAAATTTCAACACGGGTTTCCAGCAGCCAACCCCAATGAGCACGGCGTTTGACTACGCGCCATTGCCATTCACAACCAGCAGCACGATGAATGGGCTCCCACACCTATCACCATTGGCTCAGCCCGACGTTACTCTCTTCTCACCACACATGGATGAGGGCTTCAGTGGTGACATGGACATGACCATGCAGGGCTTCAGTCGCCCCACTGAGGACTTCACGTTGTTCGATACCGCGCCGCCTAGCCAGATGGCGTTCAACAACACGTCCAATTTCTTCCCCGATTTCAACCAGCTTGGGGGGCAATTCGACAACTTGTACGCCGAGCCCACTACTACGTTGGATGATTTGACCTTTATGGGCTATGGAAACCCGCAGTAATTTCCGCACTATATTGTATACGATTAGTGGGCACTTGTATAGCCGTCTTTCTCATCTTGTACTTTTACAGAAGGAGTAATCTTCCATTGAGCGGGCGTCTGGACACTTGTTTTTCTGAACAGCTATTACGACTGTTATGACAAGAGGAGGAAATGAGGAAGATATATATGGGCACGTATTCACGGCCTGGCCTTTTCTTCGCTCTGCCATACTGGTATGGCATCATGGTTGCCTCGTACAGAACAGAACAGAAACTCCACAAAAAAACAAAGGATCTTTGTTTGATACGGGTTTTCTCTTTTCCTCTCATTTCTTTCCTCTAGCGACTGATTTCGATCTCCCCCCTACCTCCTTCTTTCTGGCCGCTCATTTACGGAGTCTCAAGGCTGTGGTAGAGATCATCAGATAGTGTAGGATAGATAGAAATAAGAAACATGGTGGAAAGGAAATCGCTGTTTTCGTCCGGTGTTATCAGAAGTGCAATGTCAAAGTCCACCCAGCTTTCTTCACAATCCCGGTAAGCATCGATCTAGTCGCTGATAATCACGCGACCGTGCACGAGAGGTGGACAACCTTTTAGTACGTCCGCTTAAACGTTCACCCTTTGCAGACAGCATCCAAACAAGACACGGAAGACTTGGGATCCAACTTTGGATAATCTTTGTGCCGGACTGTGCCGGTAGCTTTTCGGACGTGATAGTGACTGAACTGTACATTGAAGCTGACGACGTGCCAAGGTCATGTAATGAGAGAAGACCACAGCGCGCAATGGTAATTAGCCTTGAGATGTGTTATATAAGATGGGGTAATCGTCATATCTCTTGTTTCAGTACATTCGTTCTTTCTCCTATCACAGAAATAGGTTTCTGAACCATGATCTCTCGTGGTATCATCACTGCCCTCAGCACTGCGTGCCTCGCTGGCGCATTCGCTCCCGGCCTCGAAGTGGTCTACGATCTGGATCTAGCAACTCAAGGCATCGCATTCTCAGCTGAGGGACGTAAGTTCCTAATGCAAAGATACTCTCTTACCGATCCTCCACGAGCAGTCGAGCTTCTAGACGACAACTCTACAGTGCTCTACCCTAACGCCGAATGGAATTCCTACAATTCGAGCGACAGTACTTCGGATCCAGCGAAGACCTTTGTCAGTCTCGACGGCGCCCGCATCGGGCCTGATGGACGCTACTGGCTCGTCGATGGAGGATCTCAGGGCCTCAATCACTCCACAAAGTTAATCGGCATCAACCTTTCCAACGACACGGTGGACAAGCTTTACTACCTCGACGACATTAAAACCTCCAGCAGTGGCATTGACGACGTGCGATTCGGACCCTCCGGCGATGTCGCATACTTGAGCGATACAGCTGGAGCACTACTTGTCCTCAACATGACGACGGGAGAGGGCGTGCGGGTACTAGCCAACGATCCGACAGCAGTCGCATGGTTCCCGATGATGTACAACCATACTCTTGTTCCAGGCTACGGTGCTGCTGGAAGCACACTCGCGGTCGGACTCGATCAGATGGAAGTTTCGCCAGATGGCATGTGGTTGTACTACCAGCCTTGTAATGGCGGCTTGTTCAAGATCAAGACCGCCTTGGTTGATGCGGCTTTGACTAATTCTACTCTGGCTGCTAGTCTGGGTGACTATACTGAGGCGGTTGCACTGACTCCCAGCACGGGCGGTAGTACGATTGACGGGGATGGCAACCTATACTTCAGTGATACCACATTGCTTGCCATCTGGAAGGTAACCCCCGAGGGCTATGCTTCTATCTTGGTCCAGGATGATGCGCTCGTTTGGACAGATCAGATGTGGGTCACTGCCGATAAGAAGCTTTGGCTGCCAGCTTCGCAGATGCGACCAGGGGCAGACGGACTCATGGCTCCAAGCCCCAATTACATATTCACTTTTCCCATCGATGCAGGGCCGTCTCCAATCGACCATGCTTAGCTCGACCGATAGCTTTTGTTTTCTAAAGTAGCACAGAGATGTGTTAGTAATGCATAAGTGTTTATCCAAATTTGGCATACCTACGGAAGACGTATAGCGCCAGCGGGATGGTCTCACTAAGGCGTGGATTTGGAAGTGGGTCTCAAGTTCGCAACAAAGCTGAGAATAGACACGCAATACACTCATTACTCATGCTTTAAATTCATCTAGCAAGCTACATCGTTGTGGGTGATATACTACAAGTGGGTTTTCGAAGACAGTCTATATCTCAACTGATTGCCACCCAAGGATACCAGGATCATACAGAGCGACGAACTATTCGCAACTTCCCCGGCTATATAAACAGTCATTCTCAAGTAGAGTATTCCGCAACTATTTTAGACTGAAAGAGGACTTGGATACGTGTATGGTCGTTAGTTTCGTCAAATAACTTCAATCAACATCTTCCGATGGTATCTCACATTCCAGCCCGTTGTCACCTGGTTTCCCCTTGTCACTGACACCCCCATTCAAAACATCCTCACCTTCTAAATTCCCCATCCCAGCTTCAAGCACCTCAAACCTTTCCAGTAGCCCAACATCCCACCCTTGGAACTTCTTCGCAGTCGGGGGCAACAACCTCTGACTCCTTTCAAGCGCCCCTTTCAGCTCCCCATACAACTCCTCAGGAAACTCCACGTCCTCTACCTGTGCACTCTCTGGTTCTCCAGGCTTCAAAGCCTGCCAGGTCTGCTTCTGGTAGAAAATCTTCATCGTACGTGTGGGATCGAGGCGACCAGGCGTGGGTATGGAAGAAGAGAAGAGAAGGTCCGGGGTAAATACCCAGACCAGGAGGGAAGGTATGGGTTCAGTTTCTTCAGAGGGGTTGGAGGGAGGTGGGTGAGGGGTGTGAATGTGAAATTTGCGAAGGCCGGTGTTGTCGATTAGGTGGAGAAGACGGGCTGTTATCCATTTCTGAACTGTGTAGGTAGTCGGAGAGGTGGATGACGTGGATGTTGTGGATGGGGACGTGGATCTTACGCCAGTGGCCCACTTTCGTATGCGCCAGCCGGAGGTAGCAGGATCCTGGGTGCCGATCGTGTGGTTGCAATGTGCGCATTGGATCAGGTCTGCCGGCAGCTCTGCTTCTTTTTTGGAAGACATCTGTGTCATATCAGTACGAATGGACGACTCGAAACAAACATAGACAACAGTATAGATGAAATGTAGCCTTGGCTAAACCTGCCAATCCCAAGGGTCTAAGGGTATAGAGACAGTGAAACGCCAGGCCGTCAACTCAACAGCGCCGGTAACCCATCAACCCGAGGAAGAGGATACATCCGGAGCAGAGAGCACGTGTATGAACATGTTGTTTTAGGGAGCTTGTATCGACGATGATGCCACTGGAAAGGCGAGTTCGCCTTCTTTGCGCCCATTTTTACGAGAACGATGGAATAAAAGGAAAGGTATAGCTTACCTGTGCACCATCACAGTCCTGCTCCGCCAGTAAGAAACTCGCCAAATCAACAAAGCCTACCCCGTCTACAGCCTGCAAGCGATTGGCAGCTGCATACCCCTTCTGCCCAATAATCTCATCGTGACTGTGATCATGCAAGTGATGCTCATCCGGCTTGTGGCAATGCCAAAAGTCCATCATCTCAGCCCAATTCTCATTCGGTAGATCTTTCCACTGCCGAATCTTCCCCTTGGCTACAATCACGCCTTCACAGCTCTTACAAGTAAGCTCCACATCTTGTGCATCGTTGAGTGAGGCGCCATCCCATGGCACAATATTGGCTTGTCGGTCCTCACGTTGCAGTGCGCCCAGGAGGTCGCTTCCTTCACGCTCTTCTAGTTGAAGACGTAGTGTGAGTTCCTTGGTTGGGGGTTGCGATGGAAGTTCGAGCGCAGCCTCGCCTCCACCCTCGATGTTGACAGGCAGACGTATCGACGCAGACTGGCCTTCGTGCGACACTGTGATGTAAGACCCGTCGCTCGACAGCTTCGCATCAGTTGAGCGCGAGAAATTCGTGCGCAGCGAGGCGAAAAGCGTGACAGTACGTATATGCAGCAGGAGCTCTGCATACAGCGTTATAGAAGTCTCGTTGGGCGACATGGGCCGCGCGTTGTCCTCATCGCTCTGGAGGAGGTTTGGCGCGTGTATTTCGGGGGGTTCAGGCGGCGGTGGCTTGGGATTCATCAGGTCTTTGATCGCTGCAGGAGAGAGGCCGAGAGCTGCGTATGCTGACTCGGGAAGTAGCGGGCGCGACATACTTCTTCGTGATTGCGCGCCATGTTGGCGGGGTGAAGGGGAACGTGGGGTTGGGAAAGTGCGATGGAGCTACGACGCGCGAACGACGAAGTTGACTTAATCGGGAGTGGGTCTTTGGGGAGGTTCTAGCCACATCTGGAGGTCCACAACAGTGTACTCATCTTTGCATCTTCCAGGAGGGAGCTGCTGAGTGACGTGTGATTACATTATACCAAGACTACATACGGCCTGCAATATAGGAATGAACTTGTCTCTAACCGACCTGAGCTCAACGCGTTCCCACGCATAGGTCTACTGGCCCTTCTTCTCGCCAGCCTTCTTGTCCTGCTCTAGAATATACTGTACGCCCCTCTTGACGCCCTCATCGAGGGTGACAAGTGGCTCATACCCTAACCGCTGCCTCGCCTTGTTGATGCTGTGGTATTTCGACATGCTGCTGTATTTGACCTGAGCCCTGGTCAAGCTAGGCTTCTTCCCCAAGAGCCAGAAAATGTTCTCCAGGATTGCACCAACAGTCCATGCGAAGTCGGCACTGAGATGCCACACGCTGCTCAACGGTGTCTGGTCACCTGCTTCGTGCCATACCGAGCGTGCAAAATCCCAAAAGTATACGGGCTGGCCGTTCGTGATGAAGAATGCTTCGCCGTCGACGCGCTCGGTGTCTAGGGGAATGCTGGGCAGGCGTCTGTGGGTATGGAGCAGTGCGATAGCAGCGAGGACATGTCCGTATGCGACGTTCTCAACGTACGTGAAGTCGAACATGTTGTTGTTCTCACCAACTTGGAACTTGGTCTTTCCTGTCTTGTACGCGTTGACCATCTTAGGGAGCAGTTGTACATCGCCTTCGCCGAAGATACCGGCAGGGCGGATGGCGCAGGTCAGGAAGCTAGGGTCGTTTTCAGGGCTGCGGTTGGCTTGGAGGACGGCTGTCTCTGCGTATGCCTGAGAACCAAGTCAGCGAAGAAGACGAGATAATGCTGTAGTATGCTTACCTTTGTGGTTGTATAGTACTCAGGCTGGGCATCGCCAGTAACAAGTGGCCATCTCTCGTCCGCGTTGATGAGCTCAGTTTCATGGTCGAGGATAACACTCGCTGAGCTTGTATACACAAATGCCTTGACCCCAGCTTCTTGCGCAGCTTTCAGCAGAACCTTGGTTCCGCCAACATTGACCTTCTCGTGAATCTCAGGCTTCAGGTCGAAGTGCGGAGATGCTGTGTGGATGACCGCATTGGGCTTCACCTCAGAGAACAGCGCCTCCATGGCCGCAGCGTCTGTGATGTCGCCATCGTGGTAGGATACGTTCGGGCTGGAGTTGCGATTCGAGTTGGTTCGTAGATCGAGAACTGCGACTTGTGTCTGGGGGTGACGGTTGACAATGAAGCTGACAATGTGGCTTCCGAGAAAGCCGCAACCGCCAACGACAAGCACCTTTCCGAGCGATTGGATCGTGTCTGAGTTGTTCGGCATGTTTAGCGATGGTACGATGGTGCAATTGGGGTGCGACGATCAGAGAGTTGTTTTGCGGAGAGAGATGAACCGACATAAGTCCGGGGGCCTGGGTTCAGGGTCCCGGCGGCCAAACTTTGCGCGTAAAGCGCCGTATGCACGGGCGAATCTCACATGTCAAACGTCAAGCATAGATGAATTCAACTTTTGCTATCACGCCTCAATGAAATAGCATGTCATTGATGACTAACGCCGTTACCGATGCTGTTGTGCCCAGAATTCCCACTGAACGCCAAATAATGCAAGCCAGGACCACGGGGTCGGACTTGGGGTATCATGTAATATCATGTCTGATGAAGTCGGCCGTTATATCATTACTCCACCTGGTTCCTCCTAGAAACAGTTCCTACACGGCTGTCAGCGAGCATCCTAGCTTCACTTGACCATGAACTTACTCAGCACTGTCTTGTGCAGACCGCCTTAGTTTGCGGTTGTAGAGCTTCTTCTCCTCTGGTGTACCCCAGAAGAGCTTCGCAGCCTCAGGGTTCACCAGCGTGCGTGGGTCGTATGCAGGCGATTCCTCCTCGATAGCAGCAATGATGGCCTCGATGTGTGACCGCATGTCATCCTTACGGGCAGCGTCGTAGCAGAGAATGCCATCAGGTGACACGCGATGATGGTAGAGGACTGGTGTCTCGAACCTCACGCGAGGTAGGACCTCAGGAAACTTCGGGCTAATGTACAGCATGATTCTAAACATGCCACCGTCAAGGTTGGTCATAGGCCTGCCAAAGAGGACCAGCTGCCACACGAATGGATTTTTGTCCACTAGGTCAAGGTCCAGTGTGACGGCGTCTTGCTTCTTGTACTTCTCAATGATCTGCTCATACTGGCGCTGGAGATTATTGGCGATGCTCATCTCCTTCCTAACAGCGGCCATTCCCTCAGCAGCCCAAGCCTCCATCTCCTTGTTAAGGGTCTCGAAGATCTTTACGAGCCGCTCTCGGAGTTGTGTGTACTGGAATGTACCCTCCATTGCGTTGCCTGGTCCCTCGAAGGGCATCTTCTCGAATCGTTCACCATCCTTGTTCTTCTTCGCCGCCTCATCTACACGAGCCAGATACGACTGGTAGTACCACAGGAAGCGTCGCTTGCAGAGGTCCTTGAAGGGTTCAAACGGCGCGTCGTCCCTGCTAGACTGATAGTCCTCTTCCGCATTGTACACGGTTGGGCCCGACCTCCCCCAGCTGATGCCCAGGTACTCTTCAAGCCGGTCTATGACTGATATGCGTAAGGATTCGTGACGGATCTTGTCAACGTATGCCTCCTGGTTCTTCTTGTCGTAGTCTGAGTTGGCGTCCTCGAAACCAGGCTCGTTCTCATATGGGTTACTGGACATGAGGCTCTGGATAGAGATGAGGATAGATTCGAGTCCCTGGGCAGATGACCACTCTTCCCCACGCTCTCCTCGCCATGTGCTACGTCTTGTTAGCGTATACCCAAATCGAGTGCTTCCCGCAACCTACCCAAGGATTGACAGGCACACCTTCCCACCCGCATAGATATTGGGGTTGAAACGCGTGCGCCCACCATGTGTAGTGATAGCCGTCACACTCGGCGCCTTTGTTGGGTAGTCTCGGGTGAACTTGACAGCGAATTCGAAGAAGCCAAACTCGTATGGGGTGTCAGGTGGGCCGATGATTAGTGCCCGCACATGGCGCACGTCGATATCGCGACAGGCTACAGCTATGGAGAGGTCGGAGCCACGCTGGATCTCGCCCAGTTCGCGGGTAATTCTCAGAATGCTCTGGTTCGACATGGTGTCGCGGACGTCTCCCGGCTGCGGTTTGGAGAGTTGAGTTCGCGGGGTATGGGAAGCTCAACAGTCCGCGTAGGCCGGGCTGATAATTTTGAGCGGGTGTGGGTGTCGTTGTACGGTATGGATCTCGTGGAGAAATAATGGGCGGGTCAAGTGTTGTAAAAGGGCAAGCAAACAATGGTTGCCCAGCTGTCAAGGCGGGTGCTGTGGAGTCCTGAGGGGCAGAACCCCGTCACCGCTTACGGGACACGAGCCGCAACACCACGCTGCCTAGACTTCCGTGATAGTTTGTTCTTCCAGTTGACAAGATGTAATGAAGCGCTTTGTAGTCTTCCTTATCGCTGGCTAATACTGTGGTGTAGGGTGGTGTTCGCGCTGTTCATAATCAGCAAGTCTGGCGGCCTCATCTACAATCGAGAGTTCCACACGGGCATGAGCAAGCTTACTAGCAATGACTACCTCATGCTTGCTGGATCGTTCCATGGGTAATATGCAGTTTGCCCGAGTCGGAATATTCCACTGACCAGCATCTAGAATGCATGCCATAACAGCGCAGCTCTCTCCAGTCCCACCTGTCCGCGCGCCTCCTCCGTCCACCGCGACGCCCAACCTCCAGACATTCCCTGTCCGCGCAACTGGTATCGAAGTCCTGGAAAGCTCGCACTTCCGTATTCAATGTTTCCAAACGCAAACCGGTGTCAAATTCCTCCTCTTCACAGAGCCCCAGCAACCGAACGTAGACACGATGATGAAGAAGATATATGAACTATACGCAGACTATGTCATGAAGAACCCGTTCTACACTGTGGAGATGCCGGTCCGATGTGAGAAATTCGATCGAGGGCTGGATGGTTTTGTAAAGGTCAGGGGATGAGCAAGAGTTCGCAAGAAACATGATACCATGAAAAGGAGAGGAAAGACAGAAAGCAGAGCAACGTACAGGGCAGCATGGAAAGCATCCTGTTGCGACATGTGTTATAAGAGTGCCACAAATCGGAAGCACTATGGGTAAACTCGTTGCATAGCTCCAGAGCCGTACTGCTGAGTCTGAGGCATGCACGATGGCTTCAGAGGTTTCAATAGAGAGGCGTAGCCACCCTTCCTGGGGAACCCAGGCTATTCGAGTGTGAGAGGTATACCGTAGAAGACGTCACTTCCGTAATCCAGTCAACAGAGACTAGTATTCATTATTTGCTTCATTTATTCATCCATGCCATGCGGTAGACGCCAGCTCTAGTCATACAGTAGACGCCGTGAATGCTCTGCCCATCTTGAAGCTTCGAGGGCCATCCCCTCCTAGCTGCACTATGTGCGCGCTAGCTTATGCCGTGTCCATCTTGTCTGCGTCGTCATCCTTCTTGTCCTTACTGCCACTTCCGCTTGGCTGACCTTGATTGTCTAGCAGCGGCTGCTTCTCGTCACCCTCAGCGACTGGCTCAAGCTCTGACTTGCCTTCGGCGGCCTCCTTGGTCTTCTTGTCCTTTTCCTGCCGTGCTTTCTCTTCCTCAAAAGACATTCTTAGCGCCAATGCGAGCTCGGGGTCAACCGATGGATCTACGCCGAACTCGAAGTCATTGCCGCCTGATGGACCGCCACCTCCACCTCCAGAACCGCTGTCACCTCCAGTATTGGATGCACCCTCTCCACCAACAATAGGCGTGGTGATCAACGAGTCACTAAGCAGGTTCGCGCTTGGCGGGATGGTAGCAAGGTAGGAACCTTCGGCGCTTTGTACGTTGTCGCTGAAGGCCTGGAGTTTCCGCGTGGTGTCGTCGCTTAGCTCGCCGAATGCGATGATGTCGATGCTAATACCGCTTTTCTTCATCTTCTTTGCCAACTTGATCAGGTTCTTCTCGTCTTCTTCGATGGGGCTGCAGTTGAACATGACTATCCGCTGCTTCTGCGACTTGTTCTGCCTGTGCTTGAGGGCCAACTGTAACACTCATTAGCTCGGGCATCTTTCCAAGGTTTCCGGATATCATACAGCCGCGACGTTGATGCCCGTCACAAAGTGCGAGCTGCCCTTTATCTTTGTCCGGTGCAGACCGTCCAACACCTTGCCAATGTCCGTTGTCAGGGTCGTGAGGATCTCCGGTGTGTTGCCTCCCATGCTCATAAGACCGACGGAAGACTCTGGATTTGCACCAGTCTTTGCGGAGAAGATCATGTTCACGGCGTCCTGTTGTGCTTCCCATCGCGAGGGTACATAATCGCCATTTCGACTAGCTTCGCTGTTGTCAACGCTGTTCGAGTTAGCATAGGATCGCTAAATCAGTGAGAGCAGCCGTACACTATCATGGAAGCTTCTAACACCATCTTGCAAATCGGTTGTATGTGGGGTTGAGGTGATTGTTTGGGTAGTTGCTCGGATCGACGGTAACGTTATGATGCTGAGCTCAAGGTCGCCGCAACGGAGGACGGAGGCTGGCCATCGAACCGCCGAGATCACGTGCAAGTCTGACCGCGACTGCGGGAGGCCGTGCGGAAGCAAGGGTGAGCCGACTCAGATGGCGTTTGCGACACCTGTAAACTGACTCGCGCAATTCAACATTGAATATTACTCCATTTCTCAAGCGTTGCGTTGCAATTATTGTTGCGCAGACTGCCATATAATTAAGATGTTCGTGCTCGCCTCGCAAATGACTTGTTACGATGATGCAGGCGCTATGCTGAAATGATCGGGTGCCCTTGGCGCGCTGTCGTAAAGACAGACCTCAGACCCTCCATCCTTCCTTCCTCACACATCCCACTCGAGAATCTGAAGCTGCGACCAACACTACCCGCAACTACACCAAAACTGCTCAGAAACTCTCCGAAACTGCCGCAAAAGCATCAGAAAGTCTCAAGAAGTCTCTTGCACTACTCTGTTCTTCTCCCCAGTTTACTAGTCGCGCCTTTTCTCGCGTTGTTTACTGTTCTTCACAACTCTCAACTTTCGGAAGCTGCAACCCTCTTCCACCATCACCACACCTGAGCTGCTCAGAACCCGTTAGGAGTTCTTCGAAAGTATCAACAAGTCTTTCCTGCTTGCTGCCATTCCTCTTTACCGCCAATACCCATATCACCGCTGTCGACGCGTTGTCCACCACTACAACGCGACTATGAACAACATCCAAGACGGACTCACAGCTGAGGCGAAAGCCAACATGCTAGCCAACCTCCAGCTCGAAATCAACTCACGCAAAGAGAAGTTGCGAGCGCAATGCGATGCACAATGCGCCAGTCTGCAGTCGCGCCTGGAGAGACGCGTCAACCGCATCCCTACCGTGACGCGACAAACCACGCTACTTGATCTCCTCAAGGCATCCGCGCCAGCGCAACCAAATGCCGCGCCTGCTCCAGTGATCAAGGCCACCGTCACCAAGAAAACATCTGCGTCTGCGCCGGCACCTGCCACACGCAAGACACGCACCGCTCCTCCCACAAACCCCAGTTCATCTGCCGCAGCAACCTCATCACCCGACAACAGGCGCGTCAAGCCTGCCCCAAAAACGACCAAACCAACACCTGGCTACGCCAAGGCGACGCAGACAACGCGCACCAAGAAACGCAGCAGCGACGAGATGTCCGGAACAGACAAGGAGAACGCAGAGATGCAAGTACCCAAGAAGCGCACAAGGGCACCAGTCCAGAAACCAGCGTCCGCAGCTCCCACAACTCGTGCAACCCGCGCAGCATCCCGCACCAAAACGACTAAATCACACGTCTTGTCGCCTAAGACCAATACCGCCAATGTCAGGAAGCCAGCTGCGCGTAGCGCCCGTCCTAGGTAGCGCCCTTAGGCGGACATCGATTACTACAGCATTGATTACACGGCATCGATTGTGTTTGGCGTTTGATACCCTCTCGTTATTGCATTTAAGCGGCGTTGAAGGGAGTTTTTGGATTTTGGCTGTCACCTCCGCCCTGGCTTGAATGAAGGGCTCTGTTGATTGAAGCCGCCCACAAGAGCAGGCTCTCACGGGGTTCCCGAACACAGCCGGATGGAGGTACAAGCAGATTCGATGTTTCTTGTACATGGCTTCTTTTTGTTTTCCTGTTGAAATTGGCAGTTTGGCTTGGTAGTAGTATAACGATGAAGCTCAAGTAGCGTAGACAATGATGAATAATGATCGATACTTGACCTTGTAGTTTATGCTTGCGATGACTACTCGTGAACCCGGTCCCAAAAGCTTGTGGCATGCACTGGAGGTTGAAGCATACAGCAGCGCCAGGTACTCCCAGTGTGTTAGCGCAGGTTATCCCGAATATATCCTGGGCACATTTTCAGTTTGAGCCTGCTAACGCGGGTTACCGAATTAACAATTTCGATATTGTGACCAAGTCAAACTTGGGATGGATACATAGAAGCCCGATTCAAATGAGATAGCGAGATGCGTTGTAGCTAAAAGCATACATCAACCTTTGTTCCTTCAGGCAGCTGAGATGGACCAACACGTATGTCTCTAGGATAAATTGTCATTTAGTCCCACTTCATGACTGCTTCCTCAACAATTGGCCTGATGACCTTCCTACCCGCACCACTCTTATGCGTCCACACCATCTGTCTCGGTGCCAGCTCATCCGCGCGATGCCATGGCTGGAAATCAATACCCTCCTCGTTGTTCTCCAACGCCTCCTTGACTGTCTTGAACAGCGAATCCGCTTGGTCCTGATCGATACGTACGTCGTCACGGACAGTCAGGACGACTTCGCGTATCTTCTCCTTCTCGCCGTCTTTGTAGTGTTTCTTATATTTGTTGAGTGTGATAGCGATGTCGACGCCGGCTTCAGCGGTCCAGGCGGCGTGGACGGCGAACCAGTCTGAGGGTGTGTTAGTTGAGTCGTGCATCAAGAGTTGCTGAAGGTGGATTTAAAGGACTAACCAAAGAGTTCTGCAAAGTCCGTCTTGAGAATCTGTTCGTCCATCGAGTAAGGAACAGATGCGAAGCCAATGCTCACAGTAGGTGTACGCGGCGAAGGAGTATCAATGATATCGCCCTTCCAGTCCCGACGCAACAAATCGCGAAGACCGAGGTTATCAATGTCCTTTTGCGCTTCACTCAACTCGTCGTCTAGGTCTTCCATTACGTCTTCTAGGCTGTCCTTTTTCCAGTTGCTGCGTGCAAGAACGCGCTTGGAAACTGCAATGTCGGTTTTGGTAGTCTTTTTACCAGTCAAGCCGCCAGAGTCGATGGCGATGGCGCTGAGAACCAGCTCGAGGAGTTCGTGCGGCATGTGGTATTCTTGGTCCAACTGCTCGAGCTCGTCGAGCATTTGGCGAGCTACAAGCGTGGTGCAACTTGCTACTACTTCGAAGACACGGGGTTCAGCGTCAGGAGCTGTACCGCGGTCTTTGTGGTGGTCGAAGATGCTGAGAATCTTTGCTTCGCTCCATTTCCGTAATGGGCTGCCATGGTCGACTAGGACGATGCCCTTGAGCTTCTTACCGAGAGTCTCAGGGTCTTCGGGCAGTTCGTCGAGCGTTAATAGATCCTCGTGGCCGGGCGTCATCTGCGAGTTGTCCAGAGCCAGTCTATTCTCTGGCCTCAAATCCAGCGCATGCGACGGAGTCTGGAGAAGTGCAATTGCTTTAATGGGGTTCGACGTGTTTTGGGACGAATGCTCGAGATGGTATGCCCAAGTCAGCGCCGCCGTCATGGAATCCAAATCACCACCTTCATTGCCCTGTACAATCACCCATTCTGACTCCTTGCCGGCTTGCCAGTCGATCAAAAACTCCTTCTTTGTGGCGCGACTCCATTCGCTGAAGTGGCCCACTCCGAGTGTTTTGACAAGATGCTTGGACGCGTCGAGAACTGCTTGTTGGGGCGCGCTGCGCTGGGGCATTGCGACGACGACGCGGCTGGCTGCCAGGAAGGCCGGTACGAGGGCGCGGATGGCCTTCATTGTAAAGAAACAAGTGCGATGATAGTACTAAGATGAAGATTACTGTGTAAGACCAAAGTCACCATCTCTCAGGTACGGATGCGCCCAGGATCCACAGCTACGTCAATGTTGGCCCGGGCGTGGCCAGCTGGGTCTCGTTTCAGCCCTATGGGGAACGGCTGTTGGGTCCAGACATATGGTCTTGAAAACCTGCCTGTAAGCGATTTTTGTTGAATTTAATAAGGAGAGCATAAACGAATGAAGGATAATGCAAATGAGGGTATCCACTGTTCCTATGCACAATCGAGTTGCACGCGCATCGCGACTAGTCAAATGCCATGCTGCCGCTCTGTTGCAGAGACTGGTCGCAGCTGACAGCTAAGTGTTCATCGCACACGGTGTGGGTGCTGTACAACAGATTATTAATACAAGTTGTATGCGCAGAGGTCAGCAACCCCAGATATGTCTGCACTCCGCAAAGATTGAGATATGACGTAATGTTTCACGGTGCGAGTTGCGGTCATGGAATGAATTCACAGTCCGCACCACTCGGATCTTTGCACGAGCCGTAGTAGCCGAAGCACTAAAAGACGGTTGGCTTTGAATCCGCACGAGCAGAAAGCTTGATTGTGTTTTCCGAGACCCCTCTCATGCCCTTATTCCTGAAAATCGTTATCATCGCCGTGCCAACGCGACTCTTTCCTATCATAGCGCGCGTCTAACCCTTTTGCTTGTGACGGATTGCGGAGACGCTGCTGACTGAACCATGAACTAAAGCCACGCCGGTCGCGGCCGGAATGCTGCACGCTTAGGAAGACACTACTTTTACCCCAACGCCTCAACGCTCACCCAAACTGATCCTTTTCCTGGGGTCCTCTCGTCGCAACCGCTGCCACGATGGATCAAGGTCAAGGTAAGCAGGGACGCCAGTTGGCGTCGTCGTCAACTTCGACCACTACCACCTCTGGTCCGCACACAACAACCACAACAACCTCGACCGCGCCTGGCCACGGCGTGACCGTGCAACATTTCGGGCCACAGTCCACCACAATCACACACCCTACCGTCACCACCATGACCCGCACACCGTCCGCCCAGCCCTCCATGTCTGACCTATACGCGCCTCCCTCAAATCCTGCCCAGCGCGTGCGCAGTTCGTCAATCCGTATACGAAGACCTTCGCATCAGCCAAGTCTGAATACTCCTCAAGCTACGCCCGATCCTGTCGCTGCGCCAGAGCCAATATCAGAATCCGACAACACATGGCAGGCTGGTCGAAGACGAAGTAGCTCCGAACCGCGCCCACCCCCACAGGCTATGTTCGCCGACGATAGTCTAAGACGCCAACTAACAGGTCCACACCTACAGCCTCTTTATGAGGATGGCGCAAACCCCTCCACCGGCAACGGACCGCCGCCTTCTCGAGGCCCTAGCAACGCGCGGAAAGGATTGACTCGTCAATCCTCCGCATTCCACATGAGGCGGAGTCAGAAAGACCCCAACCAGAACATGATGGGCCACAACGTTGTTGATGTGCTTGATGTCATTGGTTAGTACATTCCAACATGTTCCATGTTGATCGCGAGCTAACAAGACTTCAGATCCCGAAGTTTCTGCCCTTACTACGCTGAATAATGTTCAGAACTCGCTTTTCCTACCCAACTTGCCATGGCTTTACAACCGCCAACCTACATACGATCTTGGACAGACTACGTCGGACTCGTCGGATGAAGAGATGGGTACAGCCAGGGGTGCCGGACGCGGGGAAGACCAACTCCCCGAGATGACACAACAAGGCGAAGTAGAGCAAGCAGCGCGCGGAGGGCGCGGAACGTTACACAGAAACAACACAATCGACTCGAATCTTTCAACTCTGGAAGAGGGCGAGGGCCATCACTACGCTGTGCTGCCACACGGTGCTTCCTTGACAGGCTGGACTGACGAGGAAAAGGCAGCTTTGGACGATCACGTCCGACACCTTCTCCACTCCAGGCGCGCAAGATTCAAGCGGACTATGAAGGGGTTCGGACGTTATGTCCGCAATCCCCTTGGCTTTCTCGTTACCCTATACTTCTTCCTTATCACCTTCTGGGGGGCGGCATGGGTGCTCTTCCTTATCGGCTGGATTTATGTGGGTGACCGACAGGCCTACTTCGTCGAGATTGCCGACCAGGTCCTGACTGCCTTATTCTGTGTCGTTGGAATCACCATGTTCCCCTTCCGTATCGTCGACACCTACCACATGATCTTTGTTGCCAAATATGCACACAAGACCTGGGAAGTACGTAAGAAACGAGGACTACAGGAATTGAAAGACCATAATGAGCTACCAACCATGCCCCGATCAAGCGCGTGGGAAACGGGCGAGGCAGAACAAGAAGGCGTTGAAGCCCCTGTCCTCACCGCCCAAGAGCAAAAGAGGCTCGAATACCATCAAGGCAAGCTCGAGAAGTCACATACCTTTTACCGTCCCCACGAAACATACACACACCACGCCTTCTCCATCCGCCTCCTCATCGCCATCATTGTCCTTCTCGATTTCCACTCCATGTTCCAATGCGCACTTGGTGGTACAACCTGGGGAATCTACTACAAAGACCGCCCCAAGGAAGTCACCGCCATCATCCTGAGTTTCAGTCTTACCTGCAACATCACCGCTGGTATCATCATCGGCCGCGGCGATAAGCGCAGTCGCAAGAAGCTTGTCGTGGAACAAATCCTCCGCCAGGAAATGACGGAAGAAGCGCTCAAGAAACTACGAAAGGAGAGAGGTATCAAGGCCAAAGGACTCATGACGAAGAAGCAGAAAAAAGAGGTCAAGAAGGAATTGGTTGGTCCGAAGAAAAATCCGTTGGATACGATTTTGCATCGCGGGTAGCATACTTCCTTCTCTTTTCTTATTAAGTTGACGATGAAGATGATGGATAGATTGCATACTTTTTTTTAATTCTATACCCTTTTGGCGGCTTGCGAACGCCTTTTGTTCTTCGCAACGAATTTGCTCAATGGACCGCTGCTGTCGTATCTCAATTCTTCTGCACTTTCCGCTCTTGTCATCGCAGTGCTATTCATCTCGACTAGTCTGAAAGTACAATCGCGCTTGGGCGCCACACAGGAAACCCTTTAGGTTTTATTGAGTCCAAGCGATACGACCCTTGAAGCACACAAAGATTCAGGTTACCGACCGTTACCAACCTCCAGCAGACGCATACAAAACGCTCCACAAACCCTCGTACTATACAAACGTCCTTCCAGTTCTAGTTCTCATAGAGCGCAACTATCGCGGGCTATTGGCTGTCATACCCAGACACTTCTTCGGCACATCTTACCGAGCACTAACTCAGATGACTTAGTGCTGGATCCAATTCCAAGCCTAGAACTCATTGGCAATTTGACGTGCCGCTTGTCCCCACCCACATTCGGATCCGATTGACTGACGATCACCACGTGTCCGACCTCGTGACGAAGTCTCAAGAAAACGCCACGATCTCATTTAGCGTCAAATGGCTGTGCGAGAAAGAATGCAAACGCGAGTCAGCCTTGAGAATGAGTAACGAAGATCGTAGAGTGCGAGTCAACAAAAGCCGTAGTAAAGCAACAAACTCTTCGTCGCTCACACTCCACCTACATATAACAGTTTCACTGGTTGTTCGGACACATAGAGCCGCTTGTCACGCTACACGGTAAGATGCGGCCAAAAGATATTCGGCGCGATAGCACTGGCAAGTTCTAGCAATCGGCGTACCCAGGTGTGGTGTGTGTGGTGTCGTGACCCGAGGATTTGGAATTTTAATATCGCAAGAAAAGATCACCAAAGTCCAAGTGTGGGTGGCTTGACATACAATCTGCAGCGACGATCCATGTTTAGAAGTTTATGCCCCTCTTCACTAAAGCTATTAATGCATGTCGAAGAAACATGGCGCAGACATATGCCCACGTGCAGAGCGATAAGGGCACAAAGTCCTGGGTACACGAACTGTTTTCGGTCTGGAGACCGATCAACCGCTCGAGATGACGAAAACAACCATACGCCTGCCATCATGGTGGAATAATCCACTCCTGTTCTTGAGATGAGAAACCTGCGTCTCACCAACTGAAACATGGCACGTACTTTTTTTTTTCCCTAACCTTGTTCCAAGAAGCCTTTCTGAGCCTATTCACTCCTTAGATATAAACCGCCTGATGAAACGCCGCCCTACGCCCTAGTAGGTAAGTGAAAGAAAGACCCACGATGAGTGGCGAATATGTCGATGATGTCGCGTAGGATCGGTATCATAATACATCTCGATACTGAAGGAATCGTAAAACACAGTCGGTAGATGATTGAAAAGGTTGTTGATGGGCTCATCTAGTCCTAGGCGGAAAACCCTTTCCCGTCCCTAGGTGTAAAAGCAGAAAAACAACGCTTGCTGAATGTCTCTCGATGTAACACAGAATAAAAAAGACATAATGGAGTCTTGATCGTCGAGAACCATATCAGCTGTATTGCCCATACAAGTCGGTAGCGACGTGGAGAAGGGTTGCTTCAACGATGCGAATGCTCATAAGGCCGCATACCGCCAAACTCGACACCCTGCATCGCACTCGACATTGCACCCGCATGTGGTGGTGGTGCCCACTGAGCCTGTGATGGTGGTGGTGGTGGTGGTGGTTGCGGGAGCCCCTGTTGTTGCTGTTGCTGTTGTAGAGGTGGAAGCACATTGTTACCAGGTGCAGGAGCTGTGGGTAGTCCTTGCGCAAACTGGCCAGTCATGCTTCCGTAAACATGGGTGTTGGAAGGATCTGCGCGACGAAGAGCGTTCCAGACGGCATTCAGTTCCGCCCGTAGCAATTCGTTCTCTTCTTGGGCTCTTCGATAGTACTCAGCTTCGGGTCTCAAACGGAGAAGCTCCTCACGAGCGGTTTGGTGTGCGCGAGTCAGATTTTGGACGTATTCAATGGCTAGAGGGCACGTAAGACAAAAATGCGCAAAAGTTCGACTCTGGACTTACCTTTGGTGAGAATCTCCCATTTGCTTGACT